AGTTTTAAACACCTCAAACAAATTACCTCTGACTCTTCTCTTCTCCAGAGAAAACAAGTTCAGAGATTTTAGTCTCTCCTCATAGAACAACCCCCCCCCCTTCATCCCAGGTATCATCCTGGTGGCTCTTCTCTGAACCTTCTCCAAGAATTCAATGTCCTTCTTGAGGAAGTAAGCCCAAAACTGTATACAGTACTCTAAATGAGGCCTTACAAGTGATCTATACAGTGAAACAATAATATGCCATGTCTTGTTTTTGCTATTTCTATAGATGCTACCCAAAATCCTATTAGCTCTATTGCTAGCTACAATACATTGTTTAGATGAGTTAAGTTATTTTTCCATCACAACATCAAGATCTTTGTCTTGGACCACAGTATTTAATGTATTCCCAGTTAAACCTACATGCATCACCTTACATTTTGAATAGTTAACCATCATCTGCCACATATTGGCCCAATGCATCAAGTGATCTAAATCTCCCTGTAAGTCTGCAGTATCTTTGATACAATTAGCCACCCCAAAAATCTTAATTTCATCTGCAAACTTCAGTATTTATTTAGTCATTTCAAAGTCAATATCATTAATATAAATCACAAACAGCAGAGACCCAGCACAGAGCTCTGAGGCACACCACTTGTAACTGTAATCCAGTCAGATCTAACTCCATTTATTACTAATCTCTGCTTTCTACTCTCCAGATAATTTTCTATCCAGTTTAATAACATTTCCCCTACACCCACAGATTTAATTTTTGTAACAAGTTTTTTGTGAGGCATCTTATCAAATGCTTTCTGAAAATCAAGGTAAACCAAATCCAAAGTATTTCCTTCATCAACTCTTGCAGTAACATCCTCAAAGAATGTCAGAAGATTTGTTAAACAAGACTTTACCTTAGTGAAACCATGCTGGCTCTTTGACAAACTGCTTTAAGTGACTCTACAATGCATCTTTTATCTCACACTCCAAACCCTTTCCAAATACTGGTGTAGGACTAACTGGCCTATAATTGCTTGGACAATGTTTATCACCTCTTTTAAATATTGGACTAACATAAGCCAATTTCCAATCTTCTAATACTTTTCCACTACTCAAAAATATTTGCTAAAGGTTCACAACTAAAATTTTTGAGTTCCCCTAAAACTCTAGAATAAAAGTTGTCTGGTCCAGGGGATTTAAAACATAAGTAAATGTATATTGTTATGAGTGTAAAACTATTTAGGATAAAAAAAATGTAGTTTCACATTTGAATTTGAAGTCATTCTATAAAGGAAAAGGTGTAACGTAGGTTTATTTCCTCTTTTCTTTTTGTTGTTTTTACGAGGTCAGTCAAATTAACCACCCTTGTATGAAGTTAGAGTACAGAAAATAAAATATAAAGTTTTCCTGAAAAAATCGTTTGAAATTTATTTAGGAGGTTTTTGAGACTATGCAATAAAATTTGAGAATTTTGGAACGAAGGAGAATGTTTTTAATCGTAACTTTGAAATAACTTAGCACTCGAACTAGTATATATAAATACTATATATATGTTCATGGACAAATCTTTAGTAAAAATACTATGTCAGAAAATCTGATTTTTTCTGTACACAAGACTTGTAATCTTTACTGAAATTCTGACAAATGTTTTGAAGCTACACATACTGTATTAAAAGTTATAGTATGAAAACTATAACAAGCACAAGATGATTATGAAACCATAGTGAGTGAGTTAATGGATTAGGCCATAATGAGTTGATTTTCACAATCCTCATGCCAAATATTTGGCCTTTTGCAAGAGAATTCACATATCAAGAATGAAAGTAGCATTATGGTTTTGGATTGTAATAATGAAAAAACAAAAGTGATCAAAATACCATAAGCCCAAATCCATTTACAATACCTGTAAAAGTATTTTAACACTTATAAAACATCATGAAATTTATGAAGATGTCTATTTTTACTGAGATTTGAAAACATCAAACTTATTTGTGGCAAATCCTGTACAAAACTTCATCATTAGTCAGTGGTTGTGAGAAAACATTTGTCGCAATGGCCAGATTGTGTCATTTTTCAAGTTTGTATTTATGAGGTATTTATTTTTAGTAAATGTGATATTTAATGTAATCTTTGCTGTTTTAGGTGATTATTACTCAGTTGTGGTAGAAATGTAGAAACTTTAACAAGTGATGGTTAAATGAACATTGTAGAAATGCTTAAATCCAGCAAAGATTGTTCAAAATTACACATACAAGGCAGTAGTAATGCTAAGGCCACCCTTATATGTTAATGCAAATTACAGCATATGCAATATATAAAAAATGCTAAGACAGAAGAACACTCATTTCTGTGAAACAAATGATCATTTTGAAGAATACAATAATGTGACAAATAACCATTCTGAAAATGGGTTACATCCTGTTTTTACTTCGTACTTAGGGGGAAAAAATCTATTTGTAACATCAATAAACCATATACATAAAAATTAGAATAAATTCCTCTCTCCCTGCATATTCTTAATATAAAATTGTTAATAATTATATATTAGAGTACAATTTGAATGAGGAACTAAATAATAATTTGTTGCGACTTGATTATCATATACAGTAAAATTTTATATCTTGAAATAAATTATTTATCCATAGATGTGTTTATGAATGAAAAAGTTAAAACATGCTTGGTTATATCCTTAACAATACAGGAAGAGCGAGACAAAGGTAAAACAGTTGAAGTTGGACGTGCTTACTTTGAAACTGAGCACAAACGTTTCACCCTTCTTGATGCTCCTGGACATCGAAGTTTTGTACCCAATATGATTGGTGGTGCATGTCAAGCTGACTTAGCTGTTTTGGTAAGTACATTTTTCAGACATGTTAACATCCTTTGTCTAATATAGTGTAGTATTATCGTTGTAGTATACTTTTTGTACAATATATTCCAGTTGTTCTTAAAAATGATTACATTATTTATAACTATAGACCAAGTTCGACAAATATTGCACAGCTGATTTGTATATATAGTATTTAAACAATATAATATTATAACTGATTGAACTTTATGCTTGACTACTCTTTTCTGCACATGTCACAAGGTTTTACTGAGTTACATTCAAAATTTAGTTAACTCTTTCAGCATGCTATAACTTTTAAATTAGTAATCAAATGTTAATGAACATTATCAGTAAACATTACAATGCTTTCATATGCAAAATATAATTTTTTTTATTAAGTCTTAAGGTTTGTAAAG